ACTTCAAACAACTAAAAGACAACAGTAACATCATACTGCTGGGTGATTCTCAAGGAGACTTGAGTATGGCAGATGGAGTAGCAAATGTCGAGAACATTCTTAAAATTGGCTATCTCAATGATAAAGTAAGTATGCTTACGTAACCTTGTAAGCTTTAAATGAAACACTGGGAGTAAGAAATAGGTTCATTATAGTATGCCTGAGATATCAAACCAAGTGTTTGGCCCATATTTGTTTTGAGACTTGAAATATTTTTCATGGATTTCTTTCTTTTATAAGACGTAAGCTACAAAAACGCAAGTGTATATTGCTTTGGGTTTTGTACTGAACTGCTAACAAAAAGTATTTCCTAGAGAAGTAAAATTCAGAGGCTATAAAAATTAATTCTCTTAAATTCCTGTGGCTTCTCCCCCTCCTTTCAGTACTGGATTGATACTTGAGCAAAATTATGATCTTCCAAATAACAAATTTAGGCTCTCCTCTTTTTTTTTAAGTGACACACAACTGATCAATTGCTAAGTTATAATGCATTCAGGAGAGAAAGAAATCCACTTTTCTATATCTCCCTGTCTTTTGGGAAGCTGAAGAAGTAGTTTATCTTTCAGTATCTTTATGTGTGAGATCCTGGAATAAATCTGAGGTATTATATCCTGGAATGCATGCATAGCTATGTCAGGCCACTCCTACTCTGTCCTCCTGTGGAATTCACTTGTAGGAGCAATACATTATTTGCATGGCTCATTCCCTTGCAATTGGTGGAAAGATTGAGCAATATTTTAATGACAAAAAGTCTTTCAATAATCAATTCTTTCTCTTTATCCCATCTGCAATTAGGTAGATGAGCTTCTGGAAAAATATATGGACTCTTACGATATTGTTTTGGTGAAAGATGAATCCCTGGAAGTTGCCAACTCCATCCTACAGAAAATCCTGTAAATTGCAGTCTCAAGTCACTCCATTCCTTTCAGGAGGCAACTGGACAGAAGAGCACACGTGTGCTATTTTAGATGTGTTTATTACTCATTTACAGAACTGTTTAATTTAATTTAAAACTTTTATCTTCATTTTGGTATTCTGGAATATATATGGTATCAATTGTCAACTACAAGCTCCTTTTACTGCTCTTACGCTGTTCTTTATTGTCTCACACTCCTATTATAACTAGATTTAAATTGGATTTATAGATGTGATATACTGCTGCAGATGGGATAGTATGATTCACTGTCTTTTTTAATCAGGCATTTCAGAGCAGCATTTTAGAAAATGTGGCTATTTTGTAAAATTGAAGGTGTAAACACTCTGTGAACAAGCGGTGTGCGCGTTTGTGTTGCCTTTTCAAAGAAGACATTTCAGTCTCAGCTGTACTTTGAAGGATCTTATTCATATGCTACATACTTTCACAGAAGTTTTTCATACATATATTCTTCTCCAGTAAAAATGCTTTATTCACCCAATTCAGGCAAAGTGTTTCTTCTTCACAGATTTTTGTATCATTAGAAAACATTCTCTATCCTTACTGTTTCTTGTTGTCTGTGAAATGGGAAGAATGTTTTGAGTTAGTATATCTGAGATAAAATTTCTCATCTTTGTAATAACAGATCGTTTCACAAGCTAATAGTACATAGCCTCCCTGCACTGACCAGGGACATCTTCAAGTCAATCAGGTTGCTCAGAGCCCCATCCAGCCTGACCTGGAATGTTTCCAAGGATGGGGCATCTACCACCTCTCTGGGCAACCTCTGACAGTGTTTCACCACACTCTTCTTCAGAAAGTATTTCCCATGTACTGAGCAGCACCTCTCAGCACTGTGTACAGAAAGGTACAGCTTAATACCACCACAGCTTTGGAAGCTTACTTGGATATATTGCAGGATAAGTAAAAGATGATGTTGTGACCCTGGTCCTGTGAGGTTTCAGCTGTACTAAATCTATTCATTAATAAAATAGAGGCAATCATACAACTTCCCTAATGTGCAATATAGTCATTGTTCCCTTTGCTTTATTTCATTCACAGCTGTGCCATCTTCTATTCCCTGAGGAGTTGTAATGAAAACATGGGAGAGCCTAGATCTGCATTCTCTCCACCAGAAGTAACACACATCTCAAGAAATGGCCTCTTTCCCTCCAACCTGTGATCTGTTATTTGAATTCTGACTTAGTAGCACCACTCATTTTTTTTCCAAATCAGCAGATTTACACTGCTTAGCATCCCTGCTGGAACTTTTCCAAGAAAGGAAGAGGAGGGGCATAGTTTCCAAACCCCATTCTGCATCCTCTGCAGTAAACTAAAGTTAAATCCCCCCTGTATTTTGAATGCAGGGTAGAGGCTTGACACGCAACCTGAGTAGTTGTGAGCACACAAACACGTGGCACATGCTATGCCAGCAGGGAACTCCTGAGCGCAGGGACCTTTTAGAAATTCCAGCCTGCATCTGAACAGGCAAGGAGTGTTTGAGGGAGATGTCCTCCTTGTCAGGATCTAGTCATGTATGTAATTCCTTGCTCCTGGCAGAGGGGCAGCTGGTGCCCCAGAAGCAGGAGCCTTGAAGTTGTCCCTTGGAGCAGAAAACCAGTAAGACAACCAAGGCGAGGAGAGCACATTGGCTGTCTTCCATTCCAGAGCCATGACTCAGGCAGCAACAGACTGGAAGAGCTGAAAGCATCCTGGCAGTACCAGTGACAGGAGGAGACAGGAGCAGCAGCTGCCCCAGCCCTGGCCTGCCAAGAGCCTGTCAGGCAAAGCCAAAAACAGGGAAAGCTTGAAGGCAGCAGTGACAGCTGCTGAGTCAGCGGTCACTGGGACTGGGTGTGAAGTTTGGCCTGGTCTCTGGCCTTTCTCCCTGTCTCCCCCATTTGCCTCGTGCAGGGAGGAGGACAGGATGGTCATGGCAAAACTGTAAGGGAGGGAGCAGGCTCCAGTACAGTCAGTCATCTTCTGCCAGCACTATGGATTCAGCACCGCCAGCAAGACAAGCAGGGCGATGTTACCTGCGACTCCCTGCGGGGCATCGGTGTGAGCTGCCTGCTCAGCAACCAGGTCTGCACCACCTGGGCACAGCAAGGTTCTTAGGGAATGCTGCAGCATTTTCAGGGGAGCTCAGCAATTTCTTTCACATTCTACATTTGGAGTTTTAGGCACCTACAGAATTTATGTTAGCTGAGGTAATGTTAAGGTTTTGGAAGCAGGGAAGTAGGGTTGATGGTTCTTGGGTTTAGTGCTTTTTTAAACGTGCAATCATGCTTTTGTCACAGATGCCAAATAAAAGTCCAAAAGGCAAAGGCTTTCTGAAAAACACCAAGGTGTTTGGATGCACTGCTTACTCAACCAGCCTCTAGTTGCAAGGGGCTAATTACCAGGCAATACTCCCAAAGTTTACACTGGGATAAAGTTTTCCATTTACAAGCAGCTTATCTTTGGAATACAGATAACAGTTAAAATTTAGAATATGTGAAGTGTAGCTGATAGTCACAGCTCCACAGCAAGAGATGTGTCAGCAACACACTCTCTAGCACAAGATCATTCTGAGCTACAAGTGGAACAGATTTCCCTGACCACCCCAGCATCCGTGAAAAGAAGGGACGCAATTCTGGTCTCTCTGTATAGTGTTTCTGAGAAGGGAAGACTGTCCCATGTTTTCAATCAACCTTGCCTGAGAATACACATAAACTCATTGATTCTCCCTCCAGAATTTTTCCTCAGCCTTACCCAACAGGTGACTGAGCCATCACGCCTTTACTGTTCTGAAGATCTTGTTCTTCAACCCACAACTGAAAAAAAAAAAACCCAAAACACAAAACCCCAACCAAAACAAACAAACAAACAAAACCCACACAAGTAAATGAAACCACACAGAAAAGCACATGCAGAGCAACATAGAAAAGGATTAGGCAGCATCTTTAAAAGCAGTTACCAAACCAGATGTCCAACTACATCTTAATCTGAGTTACTGAAATTAGTATTCAGCCCGCCTAGAGAGCCCACACACACCAGAAGGGAGCACTTGGTTTTTCAACTACAGGGACACCTAAAACTCTTTGCCTTCGTAGAGGATTTCAGATCAAACCACCATCTTTCAAGCATTATGTAAGGAAGATTTTCCCATCTCAGCTCCAAGCAGGTGGACAATGAATAGTCAGTCACCAAATGTTCAGTCCACAATGACAACCACTTAAAGAAAAGGATTCTTGTCCTTACAAGAGGAGGCAGGTAAGTTAAGATCTCCAGCATGCTTTTCTCCTTCTATCAGTAAGTCCTGTCAGTCTCAGTTCCTATGTTAAGTAACTACCAGAGCAGTAAACCTTTGCTAGGACATAAGAGCAACTAAACCATGTTGCAGTTACCCCACAGAACCCGCTTGCTGTACAAAGGGTATTTCCATGCCAAATAATTTACTTTTTGAAATGCCATAATACAGCTTCCTAGAAGAAACAGTTACTTACACAATCAACCTGAAACAGGAGGTCAGATTTTAAAAACCTGCATGGTGCTGTACAGATTATCAATATCCTCACATCTCATTGCCAGCCACAACTCATGCTTATGTGGTAGTTAAGGGAAAACACAAGATGCATTTTTAGATATCCTCACTTTATCAAAATCCCACCTTTTTGTCACTGGACTACTGGCTAATAGAAGAATCTATGTTATCAGTCACCTCTCCAAAGCCATGAACAAAATTAACTGCAAGCAAAATTAACTCTACAGTTACAGGTTAAACCGTCCTACTCCAGCAAGTCTAATTCTTTTAAGTACTATCGAGATTCTCCATTCAGTATTAGGAAAGAGATACTATTCACAGTATGTCTTTCTAAATCAAATTTCTAAGCAGAAACATTTTGCCACCCTAAAAGTGTATTTCATTTATGATTTAGTTTGGAAAGAAAGGTATCATACATTTCCCAGACCATTTTCCCACAGCCAAAAGAGTATATCATAAGTTTAAAGCAAGGAATAAGCAAAGTTAAGTGAATTTGTTACTTTTCTTTCTTCCCCTACTCACAATATCTGTTCTGTCTGTAGCACATGTCCAAGGTCAAGTATTTGGGACCTTTATTTAGCTGAAAATGATTCCTCCTCTTGAGTGGGTGTTGCAGCCAGCTCAAATGTCCTCTTACTGTCAAACACACACTAATAGTCCTGAACTGAGCCAAAAACTTGCACTCAGTACTAGATAAATATGCCTTTTTTAAGCTTAAAGGAAAATCTGAATATTTTTCACACAGAAAAAAATAACATTCAAGTTCAACAACTGCAAACTCTGATTTAAGGAAAATTTCTCATATACTTGGAATAGGTGGGATTTTACAGCAGAAAATATTGTTATCAAATTAGGACAGAAAAATAAATAATTATAAATACCTGGATTTTTCATGGTACACACACAGGTTCCTTTTCTTTTGCACTGAGCCTCAGACAATTCAGTTGGCAATTGCCAACCCTGGCTGCCAGCAACTTCCTTTTCTAACAGCAGTCAGCTGCCCAGCTCTGAGATTAGCACCTGCCTGTTTCTTTAGAGGAGCAGCAGCATTCTGAGTTCTTGAGCCCCTCATTAGCTTAACCAGCTAGTTACATCTGGCTATTAATGACGCTTAAGAGCTATGATCTATTTTTCTAAAGTTAGTTAAGTATGTGAAAAAGTATCTAGACACTAATTAAATAAATAAATTCTAAAAAGATATATTCCACAGATAAGTTCTAAATAGATAAGTTCTAAATACTAATAGATAACAGATACTAATAGATAAATTCTAAATATTAAATTCTAAATGCTACATAAATAGATAAATTCTAAACAAACAGATAAATTCTAAATAGATAGATAGATACAAATAGATAAATTATAAATTGCTACTTTCTTCTTAAAAAAATATGTTACATTTTGAGGTAGAAAATATTTACCATATATCCATATTCCTCACAGGCCACCCTATCTAACAGGTTGGTGACTCAGAGGGATTTATCTGTTACTGGAGGCACATGCAAGGGCTGTGCTGAGCTCTCCCAGTCCACACCAGCACAATTTCACTTCCCAACCAGCTTTCCTTGCCTCCAGGCTCTGGTTTGGTGAACGGGCAGGCAGACTGCCCTCACTTTTAGGGGGCTGCCACACACCCTGACAAGCAATGGGTAGAAGATCCAACACAAGCGCAAACCTTTTCTCAGGAAGGTGGCCCTGAGCTTTCCCTAGAGGGAGAAGCAAACAGCTACCAACAGAAAGGAAAAGACTGGGTCTATGTTAGTAGTCAGAAATTCTGGATTTTATGCAGCTTAGCATAATGCAGCCAGACAGACCTGGTTTCTGTTGCCTTTGTCTGGGCAATGCCCAGTATAAATACGATTATTTTGCAGCAACTTTTTCCCTGTATTCTCCGATTTTCCCCAAAGCTGCATTCTTATTTCCAAAATGGCAACCTCCAGACTCGGAGGGATGAGGTGAGTGGGCAACAAATACTTCCTCTAGACAGAAAAACATCTTTAAATGGATCACAAGCCATGTTTGCTAAAGCCTAAGAAGCAATGGAATGAGAATTCCAGATGTACTTACCCTAGCTGGAGGCACTGGTAAAGTCATCCCTGCTATCCCATCACTTCCAAATAAATCCAGCACAGCGACCTTTGGGATTACCAACTGCCTGCACTTTGGTGCTGCTCTTTGCCTTGCATCTGCCCTGGAGGACAACTCTGTTATCCTGGTTTACTGGGAAGTCTTCAGCCCACCCACCACCTGGAATGTTCCTCTGTGTAGAAAGATTGGGTCCATTCACTAAGATTTTTTCAGACAAAACAATTCAGTATATCTTAGACCCAGAATGGTTTGGGTTGGAGGGGACCTTAAAGATCATCAAGTTCCAAACTCCCAAAAGGAAGGGAGATACCCAGAAGACAGACTTGGTTTTTTGGGGGTATGTATGAGAACAGAGTAAGGATAAGGAGCTGTTTCCACACTGGGAACTGCTTCTGGCAGCACTCAAATCACAACTTGCTTCCCACTCCTTCTCTCAGCTCTGTCAGGATGGAGAAGCAATGCACCTGAATCACAGCAAAAAGTGAGCAACTTGCTTCCCAATAAAACAAAGGGGAAAAAATGTGTGCAACAGTCTTCTGATGAAGCTGCTTTCACAAGACAGTGAAGCTTCTGAGGAGCCAGTCAGGACATAAACCTTTTGAAACCAAGTACCAGTCACCGATATCCACCATTTTTTACATCTGCTATAAAGAGCCTGTATTTACATCAAGCCCAAATCAGACCAGACTTCCAGCATTTTACACGCAATACATGTGGGTTTTGAGCTACAGATGAAGTGAAAATATCAAACCTCACACACACAGCTCAGTGAGTTTGCTTTTGCTAGACTGGGGAATTAAATGCTGTTTTCTACATAAGACAATTGCATTCAGCGAAAGACTTGGAGTGTCCATCACCCTCCCAGCTGTCACAGCCAATGGCAATATGGGATGGGGAATTTAGCAAATGCCTCCTAAAGCCAAAGAATTATTTCATTTCACCTGTGTGAGGTATGAAAAAAAAGTCCTTAATAGTGGTCTATTATTTTTTATAATTTTGAATCAAATATAGAACCCATAATCTTAGTTTAAAATATTTTTCCTGAAGATGAATAGCAAATTTGAACATATTTAGGACAAGCCTGCTGCATGCAAGAGAAGACAGCTGCAGGAAGGGTATTTGCTTCAACTCAAGATCCCAACCCACCAAAATGCCAGAAAGGAAAATGCAGCAGTTGATAGAAATTTTATTTAACAAAAAGATCAGTTATCCAACATTTAATGGTATCAAACTCAAAAAAATATTTCACTGCACTTTCTGTAAGAACTGCATTAAAACCAATACAAAATGTTTTCATCCAACTGAAATATCAACTTCTAGAAAGAGCATCTCAGGAAGCTTACATCCCACATGTACAGACCAAGGAAAGCAAGAAACTAGACACAAAGCATATAATGGAAACACAACTGCCTTCCTACTCCTCTTTGACAGTGTCTCACTATACGTATTTGTGCACTTTACATGTAGTGTACTGAGGGGAATCACACGGCCTTCCAAAAAATGTGTTATGGGTATTTAGTGCTAAGCAGCTTTGCTCCATTTATCGAGCTAACGGGTGACTGTCTCAAGAGCTCACATAATCTAAACAGCACTCTCGGGGCTGACTGTGTTGAGGGATAGGCCAGAATGTTTGCACACACAAACAGATGGGCCTATTTCTTGATTTTATCACTGTCTGTCTGTTTGTTTGCCACTGCAGACTGCTCTGCTGCTGAAGCTCTAAGCACTTACTCCTTAGTCTAGCAATTCCCAAAATAGGAGACAGAAGCCCCACACAAAATCAACTGTATCCAGTATTTATAACAGCACTTGGACTTGTAATACTAATATTTAATGTCTAAGAAAACTATAAATAGGATTGCAACTGGAAAGGTTTTGGAATCACTAATGGGAACCCTGGCCAGCAAGAGACAAGGTTACTAATTCAATACAATACAGATGGAAGAAAACTTTTATTTCATGAGGTAAAAACCCAACACATACACAGTATTGATTCTAGGCCTGTTTAATTTAATTCACAGCTTATGGAAATGTTGCAATGGCACAGCCATCGCTTGCACGTTCTGTAATTTGCAAATCAGATTTTCTGCTGGCAAATATCCATGTGAATTTGTTCAGTTACTGGAAAGAGTGCTCACGCCTTCTGAAAGGAACTGGGATCAACAGCTAACAACTTTTACAGGTTATTTTCATGGGGAATATTTTGGTTCATTCTCCTGCACAGGTATTTCTGATACATAAGGTTTTTAAAAACTCTTTTAAAAGCACTTGGTAAGTTTTCTCTCTACCATCCATCCAAGTGACCGTGTATTGTTCAATGAGAACTTCTGACCTTTAACATAAAAACAGATCACGTGGATCATGACACCACATATGACAGTACACTCTTTACCTGTTTATACATCCTACCTTGAGGCACTTAACACTTTCTTCAGATATACCTAACAGTTCCAACTGAAAATCTCTTCCTATTTTAAGAGCCTACCCACACCCCAGCACAGGCAGACCCAGGCTATCCTTCCAGAACCATGCTTGCCAAAACCCCTTCCAGTACACATGTTCAAACAGTAGGTCAGCTCAGGACTCTTCTTTTTTTCTTATCTTTACAGTTCATCGTGTTCCTCTTTGGCCTCCTGATCTTTCAACTTGAATTCTTCAGCAGTAACTTTACCATTTCCATCCCGGTCTTGATTGGTGAACATATTTTTAACAATCTTCTCAAAATCAAAACCAGGAGCTAGTTTTCCTTTGCCAGAATCAACTTGAGCTTGGATGTACTCTGAAAACTAAGCAGAGGGAAAGGAGAAGAAAACAGCTCACAATTAAATGGACATTTAAAACTGAAGAGTATTTCAAAAGTACCATTTACTTGTCATCAACTATCCAGCATTTTACAATTTTATTAGATGTACATAGAAGTACGCTCTTACTACCCTATAAATTTTGCCACCTAAATTGGACTAATTAGGACAGACACAGGAGGTTTAGTCACTCCAGAGAGGGTAGTTTTGCATACCAATACATGAAGCTTACAGACATACGCCCGCATTTTACAAGAAGCAACACACAAGAGAAAAAGAATGAAACATAGAAATGAGACTTTAAATATCAGGATACCATGAGATTGGTTAAAGTAGCTTCAGGTATTATGCCTTCCACTTGACTCCTGTATGGGGAGGGTTGTAAGGTTAGTTTTCCCTAAAGACCTTTCTCCCAATATGTATGATGAAGCTATTAAAGGTGATATTAAAGGTGCCACAACATCTGACTGAAGTCATACTGCTGGCTTGCCAAAACCAGAAAGACAAACACAACTTTCCCAATTACTGTTATCTCTGGTGCTACTTGTTAAATGAGCTTCAGCAATGAGAGCTATTGCTGACATTCATTTACACCTTTTAAGCCAAGCATCCTCTCATATATTCTTGGCTTCTCCTTCTCCTCCCTACGAGGTGACCAGAAGGA